TTCTTCAGCTTTCCTGCTCTTAGCCATTGCCAGGCCTTCTTGTTATCTGCTCTGCCTGCTCGTTTTTTTTTTTTTGTGTGTACTGGCCATGTAATGCTTTGCCTTGCCATGCCTCTTTTCTGTTCTTCATTTGGTCTTTCTTGTAGGCCAGTTTGGTCTCTTTGGTATTCAGTAAGCCTTCATGGTGTATTAGCTACAGTGCATCTTCTTCACTGTCCTTCAGATATTCTTCCAGTGCCCCTTTTTTCTTCTTCAACTGTCTGGTGTACTTGCAACATTCCACATCGCTGCATGGATGAAGGGCATGATTCATTGCCATTACTTTGACAACAAGAAGCCTCCATCAGATGATGATGACGATGATGATGATGATGATGATGATTTATCCTGCCTTTTTTACATACAACTCATTAACATAATACCCCGCCTCCTATTTTCCCCACAACAACAACCCTGTGAGGTGGGTTGGGCTGAGAGAGAACACGACTGACCCAAAGCCACCCAGCTGGCTTTCATGCCTAAGGGAGCCTAGAACTCACCGTCTCCTGCTTTCTAAGTCAGACCTTCACCACTACACCAAATAATGGGATTAAAAATAAAAGTGGTGGAATTATTTGGGGTGAAAGTTAAGAGTGTGTCAGCCCTTCAAAGTAGACAAGGTCAGGAAAGAAGAGTCACTAGCAGTCTTGGAAAGGACTTTAATGTGGTTAGGGTATTGCAACAGAATCCTGAAAGCCTGCCAAAGCCCTCTCTACTTCAACTTATGCCTAACCCAATCAAGGCAGAGTCTCACCCTTTCTACTTTCTCAGAACTGAGGTATCTTTTTTGTAATAGCTCCACATTCTCCTGATATTCCATTACGCTAAGAGAATGGTGGAAATAACATTTTGGAGATTTGTATGGGAATGATGGTGATATGTCAAAGAATGGAACTGAACTCATAAATGTGAATATCTAAGAAAATGGTTGAAAAGGAAATCATAAATGCTGTGAGAATATTGAAAAATCATATGGCTGCAAATACTGTGGTATAACTGGAGAAATGTTAAAATATGGATATGGTTGCTTGAGGAACAGCTGTGTAGACTTGTTCACTGTTATGTGAAGATTGCCTCTATGAATTATGGAATGCTTTAGGTCAGCATGGAACTGAAAATTGGTTGCTGAATGCAGTAAACCCAGTGTATGATAGAAGTAAAGCAAGTGGGAGAATAAATGGAATGTTTAGTGAATGGTTCAACATTGAGCTAGGAATAAGTCATGAATGTGCGATATTCCCTTGGTTGGTTAGTGCATTTATGGATAAATGTATGCTTGTAGTGACATTACAGGTATGCCACTAAGGGACATGAATATATGTGTACTTTTGTATGGAGATGATGTGGTACAGTTAGTTGAGAACCTAACTAGGCAGATTGTATGAAAATTAATGAATCAAAAAGTTAGACATTAATAACAAAATAAGTTAATAAATAAAATAAATACATAAGTAGAGGAATTTGTGTACCTTGATAAAAAATCTAGTAAAGATGGAAAAATGGTCAGAGGAATTTTAAAGTTGTGCACATGATGGTAGAAAGGTAGCACATGGTCTCTTGTGAGAAATGTATTGTTAGAAGGTTGGGGCATGTAGACATTTGTATATATTAAGACATTTAGATGTTTAAACATTTATCTTTATATATTGTATAATATGAAATA